GAAACAAATGAAACCACCTCTAGCAAGTAGGAGAAACGACTACTCTTAAAAAAAAAATAGTTATAGGTACGTGTTGTGAGACTGGGAAAGTTAGAGTAAATATCTGGTAACCGGTATAATATAAAAACGTTTTACAGTAAGGGGATTGGAGTAGATGTAGCGAAGCCTCGTGAGTAACGGGAACGGTTCGAGGCGGGGATTGACATTTGACAAGGAGACTGGAGAGATAGTATTGAAAAAACCATRCGCAAAGGTTTTTGGTTTAAACTTTCGTTATGTTGCAGGCCACTGATCAGCCCACGTGGATAGGGCAGGATTTACCGTAGGTACTCATTTAAAGCCTAATATCTCGTTGTTAATTGAATTCACCACTGGCCGTAACTACTGGTGTCCCTCCACACTATCAGTATTTAATTAAACGTACAGTATTTATATGTATACACACATATGTATATATATATATATATAAATATGTATAGATAGCATAATATATGTTATCTCTGCCAATCTCGGGGACGCTGCGGGTTGTGTTTTTATTACTCGGGAAAAAGAAAAGAAAATCCTCACATAAATGTAGATTAGTTGAAAACACAAAACGGTTGCTGTGTTATCGTCACTAATCATTGTGTGCAGGCTTAGTCGGTTGCAATTATTTTCCTTCTTTGAATCCACCACTGCTATCTACTATTATATCTGTATGTGCGCGTGTGTGTGTGTTGCAGTGCACAGTATTGCAACGAGAAGGAAAGAAGTATGTGTTTGATAGCAGCTGCGTAAAAACTAATTTCACACGAAGGAATTTAAAATTCATAGCAATTATTATTATTTATGAAATATAAATTAATTATTAATACAGGTACCTGCATATTATACTTAATAATTTAAAATAACTACGAGTTATAACTATGGTGCACTGGTGCATGTTTGARCGATGGTGGTTTAGCTTTAGAAAATAGTAAAATATTAAATAGATAAATTGGACTAATGACGAAAAGTCGAACAACACTCGTTAATTTATTCATTTTCAATTGTCAACCTATATATTATGTTATTAGTATATTATTATTATTAAGTGTATTGTACACACATATAAATAGATTGTGAGAGCTATTCAGTGCCGCATTTCTGGATAAATACTATATAAGCACGTGCTTATAGCATTTATATGGTACCTACTTACCTACCTATCAGTATTTAGTCTCCCCACGAAAACCTACTGGGAAAGTCGTTTTTCTCATAATTCGTGTAAACTGCATCATAGGTATAATAATATACTGAGTCACAGGGAGAAATTATGTGGACTTCAGAGAATTAAGCTCCGTCAAAACATACAAACAGACATCCTTCCACCTTTCCACCATACATACTAAGTAATCGTTGGTCACTGCTCTAAATAATAAATATAAAATAATTTTCAATTAAAATATAGCTAAAACACATTAGAGGGAGAACTTTAGCTGTGAAATTATCGTTTTAATTTTTTTGATATCAAAACTAGGTAACAAAAAGTTATTCAAAATAAAAACGATACTTCACAGATAATGTTCTCARCTATATTGTATATCAATTTRGGATCTTAACTATACACTACAATCTGAATTCTGAGTTGTTCTGTTCCGCGCCAAACAGTTTTAGCTATGTTGTAGGTACATTTTTAAAACYAAACTAATTCAAGCGGAGGCAGCGTCGTCTTAGAGTAAATGTTAATACAAAATATGCTAATAATATATTACACATAAATATTAATTAATTATTAACACGTATTAATCGTWTATTATGTGAAATAAGAATCACACTTAGGTTTTTCATTGTGGTAAGAGGATATGCGAACGCAGAGAACGACTATATGCAATGTGATACTTCTAAATATTAGCTCCCCTGAAATTATGGGAAAAGTCCGCTATGACTGGGCCTTTTTATCAACTATGAAAAATGAATGGAAATGTGTTAAGAGAAAAGCCAAAATTACTTATATTATGTAATTTATTTATTGAAGCTAAATACTTAAGTTTTATTAGATCCGTTGAATCAATATGAACTTATTGACACTTTATTCTTCGATGTT